ACATGGATGAGTCCTATGTAAATAAAATATTACAAAATATAAAAATAAAAATACCCACTCACTCCTGTTATTGTGTGTGTTTCCCCGTACAACACATCGCTTCTAAAGCAGAAGAAAATGAAAACAACATTTCTTTTTCTTTCTTTTCGTATTAATAAAAGTAACAGAAATAGTTTGCTAATTCAAAGCGTCCCAAAAAAGACTCGACGAGAGCGGGTAGACGAAAATACAGGTGTGCTTCAACCCGTCTATTTTTATAGCACCAACTCATCGTCTCCATCTATCTTCTTTGAATTCCATTACAGTATAGACCTGAACAAAATTTACTCACTGAAAAAGACTGATATACAAATCATATTATAGTATACTACTGGAATTATATATAGTAGTATCATTCAAGAAGGGGATTTAATGAATGAAAATAACGCAGAATCTGGTTTTTGGAATTTGGGTCTGGGTGGTTATTTGCTTGGATCGTGGGAATGAAAGATCGTAAAAAACGGAGTGGTTTTGTGCCGTGGGGCTCCTTTTTTCGGTGTACCCTTCTTCTTCTCTTCTTCTCCGGCTTCACTTTATCCACTTTCCGATTGTTCTTCAGAGGTACTATCTTGTGCTAAAATCTTGAAGAAATACTTTTTGGGTAGTTTAATCAAAATTTCTTTTTCTTATGATTTTTTTTTTTTTTTTGGATCGAAGCAGAAAGGTTTCGTCCAAGATTGGTGTCGACATGGCGGATGCCGCCGATGAAAGTGATCGCCGGTGTTTCACCTTCAACTCCGCCTATCACAATTCAAGAAACCGTTATTTTTCCAGACCAGGCTTTGATTTACCTAAAATACCCTTCATCCACTCTTTTATTCACCAAAGATGACATTGACTGTATATATTTGCTACCCAACTCATCTGAGCCCCAAATCAAGCTCTCTCCAGTATCAGTCGACGGTCAATATTCCGATCACCAGACTGTACGGTGCCCACGTCAGCCACGTGACACGATAGTATCTCTAGCGGTTAAATCCAACGGTAACCTCCTGCCTGGGCCCACCACCCTTAGGTGGGATTCATTGGCATATGAAGCTATAATTGATCGTGATAACACCACTGTTGTTTTTGTTAAGGGGCTTAGTCTACGTTCAGGAAGAGTTTCTGATCCATCTAAATTCAAATGCTTGTACGGCTGGGATTTGAGGAAACCAAAATTTGTTTTGTGGTCCGAGGTTGTATCGGTTGCTCAAGAAATTGTAAGATGCAAAACCCCTTTGAGCATATTGAACAGCCCCCAAAGATTTAATACTAGTATTAAGGTTTCGATTAGGGTAGTTGGTAGACAGACACTCAAGTCTATTGCTCGGCCGAAAGTTCGATTGCCCGACCCTAGACCATTATACAAGAAACAGCACGAGATGTGCATATGTACAATGTTGAGGAATCAAGCTAGGTTTTTACCCGAATGGATCGTGTATCATTCCCGAATAGGGGTTCAACGTTGGTTTCTATATGATAACAATAGTGACGACGATATTGAAGATGTGGTTGAATCATTAGTGGGTGCAAATTATAATGTTACTAGACACGTGTGGCCTTGGATCAAGACTCAAGAGGCAGGGTTTGCGCATTGTGCACTGCGTGCTAGGGATTCGTGTGAATGGGTTGGATTCATTGATGTTGATGAGTTCTTTCACTTGCCTTTGGGGTTGTCATTGTATAATGTTGTTAGGAATCAGTCTAGACCNGTTGGATTCATTGATGTTGATGAGTTCTTTCACTTGCCTTTGGGGTTGTCATTGTATAATGTTGTTAGGAATCAGTCTAGACCAAGTGAGGTAGCTGAATTACGTGTATCGTGCCACAGTTTTGGCCCCTCGGGTCTCAAAAAAGTTCCGGTGAAAGGCGTGACCGTAGGGTACACTTGCCGGTTGGCTGTTTGGGAGAGGCACAAAAGTATAATGAGGCCCGAGGCACTGAATTCTTCATTGATCAATATGGTGCACCACTTTCACTTGCAGGCTGGGTTCCGGTACGCCAATATGGATAGAAATGTGCTGGTGATAAATCACTACAAGTACCAAGTATGGGAAGTGTTCAAGGAGAAATTCTATAGGAGGGTGGCTACCTATGTGTCCGATTGGCAGCAAGAACGAAATGTTGGTTCCAAGGATCGCACTCCAGGTTTAGGTACAAAAGCTGTTGAACCACCCGATTGGTCGACCAGATTTTGCGAGGTTGAAGACACGGGCTTAAGGGATCGTGTATTGAAGACGTTCACTGACCCGAAAACAGGTCGATTGCCATGGCAGCATCTGTCCAATGAGCACTAGAGACAGAAGAGTGCTGCTGTGAATTTGGAGGAGTCTGTCTTCTTTTTATTTGTTTCTTTGGAATTTCTCTCTCTCTCTCTCTCTCTCTCTCTTTGTGCTATGTACTTCCACTACCCATGTACTGCTAGATGCACAGACATAGAGCTACTTCATATTCATTGTTTGTACATATATTTAATAAGACAACCGAGAAAGAAATGAAAAATTTAAAGCAGCATTTAAAAGTTGATTTGAAGAAATCGGTGTCTTTTGCGCAATTTCTGTACTTTCGTGATCGATAAGACATTATCCTTCGTAGCTATTTTTAAACACGACTCATTGTTTCGCACTCCATTTGAAGCATAGCAAATTGAACCAACAAGGAAGAAAAAAAAAATACTAATGAAATTGGAAGTTTTTGTTGATAATTTTTTATTTTCAAGTTTTCAATAATGGTACTTCGGTTCAAGTCCTACGGAGCTGATTAGTACTGAAGGTATGCATATGGTTGACACATTTATCACGTATTTCTCCTCGAAAATCCTGGACAACATCTTCAAAATGTCACAAATGTCCATAGTTTAAAAGTCCACATTTCCTGTGAAGTCCCAAATTCATTATTTAGTGCGGGAGGGAATATTTAAAGTGAAAAAAAAAATCCTACAGAGTGGTTATTGCCTCCCAATTCATCATTTTATTTATTAACCAATGGAAACACTTGAAAATGACATCCACTTGAGTTTTGTTCTTCATTTCGAGCCTTGAAAGTGAGTCCAAATGTCGGGTAGCAAAGTCGTCCTGCTCGATCATAAAAGAAAAATGAAAATACTAAGTTACAAAGATGCAAATGAATTTGGAATAAGCCATTTGTACAATGGATTTGTACAATATGCTTGACAATGGTTTAAATGTCAAAAAAGTGTTGATGGAAAAAATAAAGTATTTTTCAAATTGTCAAAATTGTTGTAAAAATAATTGTACAACAAGCATGATTCAATGAATTTAGCGGAAATTTCTTCTTGGTACATGCTACCATATATCAGTCTTCTGATAATGATAATGACGCGTTAACTTAACGTGTATTGACTCCTCTTGTACGATATCACTTTGTAGGAACAAAAAATCTGAATCAACCTAACTAAACATTCATCGTTGATGATGCAGACAAACTTTCATTTTGGCCAGTTACCCATGTTCAAGTCCTATATATGATATATCTCCCCAGTAATTGCCACAAGAACTCAGTTATTCAGCCTATCTAGGAAAATGGCTGCCGGAAGATCATCGTCTCCATTTGCCACACTTTTCACAATTCTCTCGGTTTTGGCACTGATGATGAGCATATCTGAAGGCGCCTTCTCCTGATTTAATTGTCTCAATTCTAGTACTGGCTTCCCTGATACACTGCTGTCTCTCTTTATTGTACTAGGTTTCTCTTCTTCTATGGTCTGTTGTCACCTTATATTGTGTGTTATCCTCTGTCATTGTCATAGATTTGTGTCTGAAGATTCAATCATTTGGAGATAATTACGGTACTATCTCTGTTGAATAATTGTTTTACTCGTTTAAAATTATAATCAATAAAATTTGCTTCATCACTACTTCTCGGTTATGGCTACTGTTGACTTCCGAAAATGAAGCCAACAAATGCTGGGAATTATAATCAATAAAATTTGCTTCATCACTACTTCTCGGTCATGGCTACTGTTGACCTCCAAAAATGACGCCAACAGATACTGGATCCACGCGGGCAAATTCCGGTGCGTTTGGATCGTTGATTTGATTGGACGCAGGAGATGCTCGTCCAACGCGAGACTAAGCAGTTCAGAAGCCAACGAAGTGACCGGAAAGCTCTCACACGGACATTGATAATCTCACCCAAACATGATTACAACTTTTGCAAGTAAATGATAAAAGAGAGCAAGATAGAAACACAATCAAATGGGAAGAGACGTAAGGAGTTGTATTTATTTTCCTCTCCAAAATGTGCCAAAAATTTATGTACTTGTTCCTTATTCTTCCTTGGCTGGTTGTGAACATGAGAACTTCAGCATAAACCCTTCGTTAGAGTTTCGGTACCCATCTGGTTAAATGGCACCTCGGCCAGAACAAGGACTTCAACTTCTGAAGCCAATCTGTAACCTTATTCTTCGTCTCTTCATACGTTTCGGGCTGACTCTTCTAGTGACGTTAGTGGATTTTCCACGTGGCACTTTCTGATGTCTAACTTAATACAGGAAGTAATAGCTACAATGATCATGTGATCCATTTTTGTTCCTAAGAATCACACATATTTCTGTGTCTAACAAATATAAATGCGAGAGAGAGAGAGTCAGAATGTTTGAATCCTTTAATAGATGGACATAAGACATGTTATTCATCAATCATCGACACTTACAGGGTATTCTTTGGTACATTTTTAAACAGAAGTATGTAGTACACCAGACTAAATTTTAACTTATTTTTCCTCCTTAATCCTGTCCAAAGTTGTTGCATCCAACGTGCAAAACATGCTAAAAATGCAAGTGCTGCTGTCAGGATTTCATGTATGCAACTCAGTAGGAGAACTCATGGCCTTTGAGTGAAATATGTTTCTTAACCCAAATGGCAATGTCTTCAGCACAAGCTTGGGCCTGAGGGGTCTTAAGAAGCATATCAAGAGCTGCAAATTCATGAACTGTGTCCTTGTACTCGAGAACAGGTGCATCCACGTTTACTTTCCGAAGCTCCTCAGAGTAAGCAATGTGTTAAATTGTGAAAATTCAGTGAACAGATAAAGAAGACTCGATGGGAACTCGAGTTTGGTGGCAGCAGACCTGAGTCATCTGTCCAGTTGGATGCATAGCTGGATTTTAGAATCTAGAAGAAGAATACTCTAGAAGAATTGCCAACGAATATGCTGCTGCATGGTTGGAGTTTGTTTCTCATTCTGTTATTTTGTACTGCAACTTGTATAGAATTGGTTAGCATAGATTCTTTCTTTTCTCTATAAAAGGCAAAGCCATTGTACATTACACAGAGGAGGTGAATGAATATGAATGAAAGTTTTTCATCCAAATATTTTCTTCACATTTAATTTTTTAAATGGTATCAGAGCAGGCAATGGCTGATTCAAATGATCCAAATACCACTCAAAGTAATACCAATACTACTCAAACCAGAAACACAAATTCTGATCCGTCACACCTAAGTAATCCCTTCTACATTGGGGCAAATGATAATTCTGGGTCCTTGCTTGTTTCTCATACACTTGACTCAAACAATTATCACTCATGGGCAAGATCCATGAAACGAGCACTCCGAATCAAGAATAAACTTGGTTTTATCAATGGAAGCATTTGTGAACCCACTGTTGCAGACAGTCCTCTCATGGAACATTGGCTTCGATGTAATGACATAGTAATTACTTGGTTACAGAACACCATGGCGCCAGATATCAAGAGCAGCACTCTATATGCAGATACAGCTTACCAATTGTGGAAGGAACTTGAGCAAAGATTTGCCCAGCACAATGCACCAAGAGTCTTTGAAATCAAACAGAACATTGCTAATTTAATGCAGGACCAGGAGAGTGTGAGTGTATATTTTTCAAAACTGAAAACATTCCTAGATGAATTGATGAATTATGAATCTATCCCTAGTTGTTCTTGTGGTGGATTGAAAGATGTGATTAATAACCAACAAAGAGATTGGGTTACGAAATTCTTAATGGGGCTTAATGATTCGTAGAAAAATTTGAAGGCACAAATTCTTCTGATTAAACCATTCCCAAGTTTGAATGAAGTGTATGCTATTATCCAACAAGAAGAAAAGAGGAGGCAGATTTCTCTCGACGGTCCACCTAATCTAATGACACTATGGCAATGTTAGCAAAAGGGAATTTCAATGTGAGAAAATCATATCAAGGAATTCAAAAGAAAGACGATCAGTTACAAGATATTGTGTATTTATTGGCAAATCCTTGGTATCTTGGAAGTCTAAGAAACAAGGGACAATTTTCAGATCCTCTGCTGAAGCAGAGTATAGAGCAATGGCCAATTTATGTTGTGAGTTAACTTGGATGCAATATCTACTCAAAAATTTACAAATTGAGCATTCTCAGACGCCTATCTTACATTGTAACAATAAAGCTGCCATCCACATTGCATCAAATCCAGTTTTTCACGAAAGAACCAAACATATTGAACTTGATTGTCATCTTGTTAGGGATAAAATTCAAGAGGGAAGCATAAACATTGAATATGACAACAGTAATTCACAAGTGGCAGATTTATTGACCAAGGCTTTATGTTCTCCTAATCTGTACTCACATCTACTCAAGATGGGAGTATTGGATATATACTCTCCATCTTGCGGGGGGCTGTTAAATTGTGAAAATTCAGTGAACAAATAAAGAAGACTCGATGGGAACTCGAGTTTGGTGGCAGCAGACCTGAGTCATCTGTCCAGTTGGATGCATAGCTGGATTTTAGAATCTAGAAGAAGAATACTCTAGAAGAATTGCCAAAGAATATGCTGCTGCATGGTTGCAGTTTGTTTTCTCATTCTGTTATTTTGTACTGCAACTTGTATAGAATTGGTTAGCATAGATTCTTTCTTTTCTCTATAAAAGGCAAAGCCATTGTACATTACATAGAGGAGGTGAATGAATACGAATGAAAGTTTTTCCTCCAAATATTTTCTTCACATTTAATTTCTTAAACAATGGCTCGATCTCTCATCAAGTCGTGCTCAGCAACCACTGTCCGCGTTGGGGGTATCTGCTTCAAATGTGGTCCTCTCTCCGAAACAATGGCAGAAGGGTGATCCAGGCTGAACTCCTCTTCCTATAAGATTAGTTTCCATGCAAGAATGCACATAGCTTTATCAAAGAAATAGGAATTTGCGAGTTTTATCTCAGAATGTGTAGGTTTACTTCCAATGAAAAAAGGGTACATCAAAACCTGGGCCACCACCTTTACTGGATCCAAAAACTTACCGGCCTCTACTGATTTCCGTGCAACATAGTCAGCAATATTTCCTCCACAACTCACCCCAAGAAGTACACATCTGTTCCAAGTCACAAAGTTAGTAATTGAATAAAAAGGTTTCTTGAAGACCAGAAACCTATAAGCATACATTAATTCACAAGTGCAGGCATAGCTAAATTTGGACCAAGGGTATTATTACTCTAGGCCATTCTCGTGTTCAAAAGAATGGTCGAGGCTAGGGGAGAGGCATTTAAAAATGGAGTGGCTGTGTGTACAGTCTCAACCATAAA